GAGTGGGAGAGAGCCAAAGCATAAGAGACTGTTGAGAACTGAGAACAAACTAAGGGTTGATGGGGGGTGGGAGGGAGGAGAAGGTGGGTGATGGGTATTGAGGAGGGCACCTTTTGGGATGAGCACTGGGTGTTGTATGGAAACCAATTTGACAATAAATTTCATATATAAAAAAAAAAAGAATTAATGGGATAACTAAGAAGTTAGGAGGAAATTAAAAAGTACATGGAAGCCAATGAAAATGATAACACTACACCCCAAAACCTCTGCGACACTGCAAAGGCAGTCATGAGAGGGAAAGATATAGCAATCCAGGCCTTTCTAAAGAAAGCAGAAAGGTCTCAGATACACAACATAACCTTACACCTTAAAGAGCTGAAAAAGGAACAGCAAATAAAGCCCAAAATCAGCAGAAGACAGGAAATAATAAAGATTAGAGCAGAAATCAATGCTATCTAAACAAAAAAAAAAAAAAAAAACAGAACAGATCAATGAAACCAGAAGCTGGTTCTTTGAAAGAATTAAAAAAATTGATAACCCCCCAGCCAGTTTGATCAAAAAGAAAAAGGAAAGGATGCAAATAAGTAAACACATGAATGAAACAGTACAGATCACAACCAACACTGCAGAAATACAAACAACAAAGAGAATATTATGAGCAATTATACGCCAATAAAATGGGCAATCTGAAGAAATAGAAAAATTCCTAGAAACATATAAACTACCAAACCTGAAAAAGGAAGAAATAGAAAATTTGAACAGACCCATAACCAGTAAAGAAATCTAATTAGTAATCAAAAATCTCCCCAAAAAACAAGAGTCCAGGGCCAGATGGCTTTCCAAGGGAATTCTACCAAACATTTAAAGAAGAGTTAACACCTATTCTTTTGAAGCTGTTCCAAAAAAAATAGAAATGCAAGAAAAACTTCTAAACTCTTTCTATGAAGCCAGCATTACCTTGATTCCAAATCAGACAAAGACTCCACTAAAAAGGAGAACTACAGACCAATTTCTTGATGAACATGGATGCAAAAATCCTCAATAAGATCCTAGCCAACTGGATCCAACATGGTTTGTGAGTTCAAGTTCCACATGGGTTGAGCTCAAGCCCCAGCTCAGGTCAGCCCCACTTCTCTCCCTCTCTCTGCGTTTCTCTCTCTCTGCCCCTTGCTCACTTGCACCTTCTCTCTCAAAGACACACAAAAAAGATACAAATAAAAATTAATAAAATGGAAAAAATTTCAAAATTTCAAAACATGAGGGTAAACAACATCATGTTCTTTGAAGACTTACAGGAAACAAACTGCCAAAAGAAAAGACACCAGATACAAATAAAAAATATCAGTACACAAAAGGAACAAAAATTCTGATACCACAAGTAATAAATAAGGACATATTATAAATAATTTAGTAAATTTGAAAACTTAAATAAAATGGATAAATTACTTAAAAATATAAAATACCAAAATTGAATCAAAAGAATAAAAGAATAATAATAATAATAATAAATAATAATAATAAATAATAAATAATAATAATATATAAATATAAAATACATTATATAAATATAAATATAATTTATATATTATATATATTTTTATATATTATATATATAAATATAATATATATATAATATTTTATATATTATTTTATATATAATATATTATATATATAAATATAAATAATAAAAATATAATATAAAATAATAATATATATAAATATAAAATAAATAATAATAAATAAATAAATAATAAATAATAATAAATAAATAATAAAAAGAACAAAAGAATAAAAACTTTAAAGAATTCAAATCAGTAGTTAATCTTTAAAATATTTTTTTAATCACTAAAAAATGTCAGGTGCTAGAAGACATGAATAGACATTCTTCCAAAGAAGTGATACAAATGGCCAGCAGACATATGAAAAAATGTTCAACATCACTCATCATCAGGGAAATGCAAATCAAAAACTACAATGAGTTACCACCTCAAACCTGTCAGAATGGCTAAAATTAACAACATAGGAAACAACAGATGTTGGTGAGGATGCAGAGAAAGAGGAACCCTTTTACACTACTGGTGGCAATGCAAACTGGTGCAGCCACTCTGGAAACACTATGGAGGTTCCTCAAAAAGTTAAAAATAAAACTATCCCTACAATCCCACAATTGCAGTACTAGGTATTGACCCAAAGGATACAAGAATACTGATTTGAAGGGGCACATGTACCCTGATGTTTATAGCAGCATTATCAACAATAGCCAAACTATGGAGAGAGCCCAAATGTCTATCTACTGATGAATGGATAAAGATGTGGTGTATGTGTGCATATACATACATATGAATATATATGTGTATGTATATACATGTATGCATTTATATGTATGTTTATATGTATGTATTACTCGGCCATAAAAAATAATGCAATCTTGACATTTGCAACAACATGGATGGACCTAGACTATTATACTAAGTGGAATAATGCAGTCAGAGAAAGGCAAATACCATATGATTTCACTCATATGTGGAATTTAAGAAACAAAACAGATGAATATAGGGGAAGAAAGGGGAAAAATAAAAGAGGGAGGCAAACCATAAGAGACTCTTAACTATAGAGAACAAATTAAGGGAGGGAAGTTGGGTGGTGGATGAGCTAAATGGGTGATGGGAATTAAGGCGGGCACTTGAGATGAGCAACATATATAGCATGTCAGTGATGAATCACTAAATTCTCCTGAAACCAATATTACACTATACATTAACCAGAATTTTTAAAAAATTTTTAATGTATATTTATGTCTGAGAGATGAGCAGGGGAGGGGCAGAAAGAGAGAGGGAGACACAGAATCTGAAGCAGGCTCCAGGCTCTGACCTGTCCACACAGAGCCCCACACAGGGCTCAAAATCACAAACGGCAAAAACATGACTTGAGCCGAAGTTGGACACTCAACTGACTGAGTCATGCAGGCACCCCCTATGTTAACTAAAATTTAAATAAACACTTGAAACAACAACAAAAGCCAGATGCTGATAACTTTATAAGCAAGTTTTACCAAGAAAAAGATAAACTGATATAAAAAGCTTCAGATAATAATGTAGAAGAAACACTCTTTTTTAAAAATTTTTTTTCAACGTTTATTTATTTTTGGGACAGAGAGAGACAGAGCATGAACGGGGGAGGGGCAGAGAGAGAGGGAGACACAGAATCGGAAACAGGCTCCAGGCTCTGAGCCATCAGCCCAGAGCCTGACGCGGGGCTCGAACTCCCGGACCGCGAGATCCCGACCTGGCTGAAGTCGGACGCTTAACCGACTGCGCCACCCAGGCGCCCCAGTAGAAGAAACACTCTTTACTCATTGTATGAGGCTAGCATAACTCATATCAAAACCAGACTAGAATAGATTAATAAACTGTTTATTATGTGATTTTTACATACACCTGCTCTTAGATTCCACACTTGTATTGAGTGTTTATCATGAAAAGGTGTTAAATTTTATTTAATGCTTCTTCTGTATTTATTGAGGTGGCAAAAAATTTTTCTCCTTTCATCTCCTTTAATCCTTTAATCCACCAACTTTAATCAACTTTAATGAACTTTAATCAACCAGCTGAGCCACGGGGTGCCCCAAAATATTCCCTTCGAGTATCAGAATAAGACAAAGATGCTTGCAATCATCACTTGTAGTCAGCATTCTAGAGGTCCTAACTAGTGCAGAAAAGGTAAAAGGATTGGAAAGGAAGAGATAAAACAGTTAATATTTGTACACAGAAAACCCAACAGAAGCATGAGAGACTATTAGGATGTGAGACTCTAAAAAGGTCACAGCTACAAAAATATATAGAACAGCCAATTGTATTTCTTCTATTCCCAGACATAGCAAAAGTAATTTTTAAAATTACACTATTTACAATAGCATTGAAAACTATGAAGTGCCTAGGAATAAATTTAATAAAAGATATATATAAGACTTTTCTGGAAAAAGTATATAATTATATTGAAAGACACTGAAGAAGTCTTAAATAAATCAAGAAAATTATGGATAAGAAGATTCAAAGTATATAAAGATGTCTAGTCTTCTTAAATCGATCTATAAATGGAATGCAATCCCAATCAAAATCCTAGAGTTTTTTGTGAAAATTTACAAGCTAATTCTAAAATGTAAATGGGCTGCTTGCTCAGAACAACATTAAGGAGCTTCTCTGATCAGATACTGACTTCTTATAAAGCTATAAGATGATGTAATATGGGCATAGAAATAAACAAGTAGATCAGAAAATATCAGAATAGAGACCTCAGAAACAAATAAAACAAAAAAATATATATAATACACATATTACATATATATGTAATATCATGGATACACACACACACACACACACACACACACACACACACACACACATACATACTTGGTTTAAGACAGGGCTTTAAAGATCAGTGGTTAAAAGATTCCTTAATAAAAGACCCTGGGCCAATTAATTATTCATTAAGAAAAAAAGTATATACCTACACCACAACATAAAGAAATGTCATGATGAAAGAAAAAGATGAAAGCATAAAACAGAGGGGAAATATCTTTATGACTTCAGGACAGGAAAGGACTTCTTAAAACACAAACAGCACTGACCATAAAAGACTGCTAAATTCAGTAACACTGAAATTAAGATCTGTTAAACAAAAGATCCAGTACAGAGATTACAAAACAAAAGCAACCATTAGATGATGTTTGCAGCACATAAAATGACAAAAGATTAATACGAAGATAAGTCCTACAAATAAATTTTAAACCCAGTAAAGAAGTGGTCAAAGACACAATAGTCCTTTCACTGTGAGAAATATTAGTAGCTCATAAATACACGAAAATATATTCAAACCCATTTGTAGTGAGAGAAACGCAAGTTAAGGCCACGAGGGATATCCTTCAAACCTCCCAAATCTGTGGTCCCTAAAAAATAAGACAAATACCAAATATAGAAGAGAGTAAGGAGCATTAGGAAGACTCATCCACTGACTGTAGAGACATAAATTGGAACGGCCACTTTGGAAATGTTTGGTATTTCTCAAAAAAGTTGAGCATGTGTATATTCTGAGACCCAGCAATTCTGCCCTCATGCTAATACTCTGAACAGTGCTTCTCACACATTAGTGTGTATCAGAATCCCAGAGAGGGTTTGTTAAACACAGATTACTGGACTCTTCCCTGAGTTTCTAACACATGGAATGGGGCTTAAGACTTTGCATTAAAAGAAGTTCCAGGTGGTCTTGATGCTGTTGGTCTGGGGACCACTCTTCTGAGAATCATTGCTATAAAAGAAACTCTTGGGGTGCCTGGGTGGCTGTCAGTTAAACCTCCGTCTGACTTTGGCTCAAGTCATGATCTCACAGTTCGTGAGTTGGAGCCCCATGTCAAGCTCTGTGCTGACAGCTCAGAGACTTCCCTCCCTGCCCCTCCCCCACTCGCACTCTGTCTCTCGTTCAAAATAAAATAAAAACATTAAAAAAAATTTTTTAAGGGGCGCCTGGGTGGCGCAGTCGGTTAAGCGTCCGACTTCAGCCAGGTCACGATCTCGCGGTCCGGGAGTTCGAGCCCCGCGTCGGGCTCTGGGCTGGTGGCTCGGAGCCTGGAGCCTGTTTCCGATTCTGTATCTCCCTCTCTCTCTCTGCCCCTCCCCCGTTCATGCTCTGTCTCTCTCTGTCCCAAAAATAAATAAAAACGTTGAAAAAAAAAAATTTTTTTTTTTAAATTTTTTTAAAAAGAAACTCTTGCACTTACTTATCAGGACACATGCAGGATATTAATAATGTACTTCCTTGATACAAACAAACCCAAACATCCTTTAACAGAGTAACTACATTATGGTGTAATCAGTGAGATTATATAACTGTGAAAACAAATGAGATCATAGAGAGAATACAAGGGTTTCTAAGATACAAATTAATGTTCTAGTTTTGAAGCCAGTGGACATTTTCAGATATTCTAATCACTCTTTAAACTGTACATACATGTTTTGCATATTCACTTGTCCATGTATTTCATCATAGAATCTTTTCTGCTTCACTCTACCACCTACTGGCCATTTTTCTACTGCCTGGCCCTACACAAAGTATGTCAAACCATACTCAGGACTTGAGTAAAAGGAAAATAGTTACCTGGTCTCATCTGTATACTGACTCTAATGCACACACATTGCACCAGCCACACTTTCTCAAGATATTTTACACCCTTTCAAGTTCCTGATTGCTCTTCCATGACTACAGGTCTCAAAATCAACACCCAGAACTGAACACAAAGCTCCACATGTGGTCTGACAGACACTGTATCAAGACCTCTTCTCCCTGGCTGCTACAGATTCATTGGTACAGCCAAAACAGTGTTTTTGCAACCATATCATATTGATTACTCATACTAACTTTATCTACTAAAATTCTCAGCAATTTTGGAGCAGCTGGGTGGTTCAGTCCACTAGGTGTTCGGCTCTTGATTTTGGCTGAGGTCATAATCTCACAGTTCATGGGTTTGAGACCCATGTTGGGTTTCATGCTGACAGCACAAAACCTGCTTGGGATTCTCCCTCCGTCTCTCTCTCTCTCTGCCCCTCCCCGACTCCCCCTCAGCCCACCCCCACCACTACTCGTACACGCACAGACAGGCGCTCTCTCAAAACAAAAATATACTTTAAAAAAATTCTCGATAATTTTTCATACATAATGCTAAAGATACACCTGGAAAGTTGGCCTCTTCAGACCAAAAGAATGGACTTCAAACTTTTATCTTAGATTCAGCCCTTATAACATTCTTAGATAGATAGATGCTGATTTTATTACCCATTCTCTGAGGATTCCTCTATGCTTTAGATTCTTCATAGAATGAATGAGCCACCAATAATATTCAAGTCACTGATAAAGTTCAAAAGGACCGGACAAGTACAAAGGCCTGAGCCAGATCACCAAGTCTTCCAAATTTATCTGTATCCATTAATGTACTCTCTGGTTACAGCCATCAGTTGGCTATTAATCCTCCTTCACATTTTCCCATTTTTCCTCAAGGGTATTAAGAGAAACTATTACAAAATGTATCACTAGAATCTAAAGAAACTGAGTATCTGGCACTCTCTGGTCTTTCAGCCTAATAACACTATTCGAATAATATTGCTGCCATCTTGCACCACGAGGGCCACCCCCAAGGATGACAGAATGGGAAAATGGTTGGAAGCTGCTTCCCAGTGACTTTTTGTGGAGTTGCCATTCCTGCCTTGGGATACCTGTTGCCAGAAATCTTTTAATTGGAAGAGAAATAAACTATTTAGTGTAAAGAAAAAAAAGGTGGGGGGGGGGGGGGAATTACAATAATGGATTGAAGTGATCCTAAAACCAAAATCTAAGCTTGAAGAGAATGAAGCCAAACTATACAGTTATTTTTTCTCCAAACAAATTTAATTCTGTTCCAGCCCCAAAGAAGGGGAAGGACCTAATGTTTAAAAATAAAATAAAAGTTGCAAAAAAAACAAGCCATTAAAAAATCAAGCCCCCTCCCTTAGCAATAAATACTGCAATGATATATACACGAGGCTCAGGAAGGAGGCAAGAACGAAAACCGTGGGGACTCTGTCCCACGGCAAGATGCCAACACTTCTACCAATTCCATGCTCTTTGCCTAAAACACAGAAGAGCGATGAAAGAGGCAGGAGAGATTACACCAGGGAAGTGTGTGGCCACAGAGAACCTGAACATGTGAACAGGAGAGAAAGACGAGACACAAAGTGTCCTACAGGACAGGGGAAGGGAAAGTCATCATCTACAACATCCCCCCTTCCTGGCTGAGTCACTGGGTGGAGCTGGCCCAGCTGCTGACGGTCTTGAGCTTATCCTCTCGCCTCCGCTCCTGCTTCAGCATGCAAGTCAAGGACGGTCATTCGCACTGTGGCCGTGATGCCACTGTGGCAGCGGCCTGACTGCTGGAGCCCTGGGGCTTCCCATTCACCACCAGCAGGAGGGGTGTCTCCACACGAATACTGCAAAAGGAATAGTCCTAGGAAAGACAGACAGACAGAGGTTCATTACAGATCCTAAGGTGGAAGCACAGGGATACACATCTGTGACTTTCTCCCTCTTCCTATCCCCTCAGTGTATACGCTCCTTCCCTTCGTCTCACGTCAAATAAATAAAGCTGAGTTTATTTTTATATATCCCCTAACAAAGGGGATATAATTTTCCCCAAATTTTCAATCTTCAGAAGGACAGTCTGGGGTAGGTAAGATGCCAGTAGTTTCACCACAAGAATGGGGCAAATCTCTGAAAAATGACAGGTGCCGCTGCTGCCTAACTAGAGGGTGCCACCAGCCTTCACAGAATCTGCCCATCCCAGTGTCTTTTGACAATGAAAACCAGACGCACACAGCCACCAGCGAGAAGCCTGAGAAACTCTTAGTCCCAGTGTTTGTAAGGCGCTAAATTAACTTGCCAAAGATAAATTCAAGTTAATTTTCCCTTCTTCCTCCCTATCAGGGGGAAGAAACAGAATGTGTTGTTTAGACATTCCAATAATAACAGAAAAGACAGCCCACTTTACCAGTTCAAATGTACTTTAGACCATAAAACATGTTGTTAAAACATCTTCATCCAAAAACTATTGTCCCACTGGGACTTGTGAAGGAGGCACTTTTAAGTCAAAGTGAAGGCGTGAATTAAACAGTTCTCAAAAGTCAATTTTTTAAATATCCTAACAGGAATATGGGCGATGACAAAAAAAATGCCAATTTATAAAAAGAATATAAACAGCCAATAAACTTGATAAAATGTCCAACCTCACCAATAATCAAGAAACCAAAGCAAAACAATACTGATGCTGTATTTTTTCATGTAAAATCTGCATTTAATTTTTCAAAAGTTTCTACCCAGAGTTGAAAAGAAAACTACAAAGAAGCAATTACATCTGCTGTTGGTATTAACTAGTCCCACATTCCAAAAAATAACTTGACAATATGAATCAAAAGTCTTAGAATTCTGCATACCTTCTGGAACCAGAATTCTACCTTAGAAATTCACTTAAGTAAATAATCATGGATATAGGCAGATATAAAATTTTTTTACTACAGTGCTTTTATAATTGGGAAAAATTAAAAATAATCTAGATCTGAGAGAAGTAAATTTTTTCTGTAGAGGGCCAAATAATAATTAATTTAGGCTTTGTGGGTCATATGGTCTCTGTCACAGAAGAAGTATTCAACTCTGACCCCATAGTGCAAAAAGCAACCACAGACAAGAGTAAACAAATAAGTGTGGCTCTGTTCCCAAACAAATTAACTTTTTGGACACTGAAATTTGAATTCCCTATAATTTTCATGTATCACCAGTTATTATACTTCTTTCAATTTTTTCATTTAAAAATATAGAAACTGGGGAGCCTGGGTGCATCAGTTAGTTAAGCATCTGACTTTGGCTCAGGTCATGATCTTGCAGTTTGTGAGTTCAAGACCCACATCGGGCTCTGCGCTGACAGCTCAGAACCTGGAGCCTGCTTCAGATTCTGTCTCCCTCTCTCTCTGCCCCTCCCCTGCTTGTGCTCTGTCTCTCACTCTCGAAAAAATAAACATAAAAAAAAATAGATAAATAAAAATATAGAAACTATTCTTATATCACAGACTATACAAAACAGTCAGGGAGCCAGATTTGATCAATAGGCCAGTTTGCCAACCCCTGATCTAAATGGTGAAAAAGTGGTGAAACTGCTACTCTTAGAAGATTTGTGTTTATTACATGAGCCAGTATAGGCAATAAACCTCTAAACCCAGCACCTAGCAGTCAGTTAAGGTGTTCAGGAAATGTTAACTGTCATCATCATCTTCATCACCTTTGTGTGTCAATTCAAAACAATGCTGTTAGAATATGTTAAACTGCAGGAAATGTTCACAAACATTGCATATAATATTCCACTCATTAAAAATATACATATGAATGTATATATACACATACATATATGTATATAATATAAATAATATATATAAATAAATATATAAATATATAATTGTAAATATGTTTATAAATATATATGTATATATACATATTTATGAAAAAGACTGTAGGTATATATAAGAAACTAATATCTGAGTGATAATATTTCAGTACATTTTTTAAAAAATTTTTTATAGAAATAATTGACATCTAACATGTATAAGTTTAAGGTGTAAACATGTTTATTTAATACATTTATATATTGGAATATGATGACCACCATGGTATTAGGTAACACCCATCATGTCATACAGTTACCACTGTTTTTTTGTTGTGGGAGCAATTAAGATTTGTTCTCTTAGCAACTTTGAAGTATACAATACCATACTGTTGTCTGTAATCACTGTGCTGTGCATTAGCTCTCCAGGATTTATTTACCTACTAATTCCAATTCTGTACCCTTAAACAACATCACCCCAATTTGCCCACCACAACCCCAGCCACTGGTAACCACTATTCTATTGTTTTCATGAGTTCAGCTTTTTTAGATTCCATATATAAGTGTTATCATACAGTATTTTTCTCTGTCCACTCCATTTTTTAAATTCTTGTTTACCAATAGGTTCCCTTTTTAGTAAAAAAAAGTATATACATCATATATGGAAATATGTGTGTATATCACATACACACACACACACACACACACACACACATATATATATATATGCATTACGTTACGTATTTATTAAAAGAGATAAACTTGGTCCCACTTTCAGAGCCTATAAGCTGGGAAAAAATCCTGGCCATCACTCACTTTTCCTTTGTGCTGAATTCGGTGAAGCCGAAGACTGGGCTCAGGAATGGCTACGGAGTCCCCAATGAGCACTCCCCAACTCTGTACCATATTATACACCATCACTGCACAGCAAGGTCCATCTGAATCTACCAGGCCAAATGTACTGCCAGGTTAAGACAGGTTAAGGGAAGGGTGGGGAGGAAAGCAGGCAGGAAAGAAGAACAAAAACAGTGGTTTTAGAATACCAGCAAAATTAACAAATGCTTTCTCAGTTAGTTACTTAGAAAACTTAAGACAGGTACCATCATCTACCATCTGAGTCCTCATTTGTCTTACATATGTACTATCTTTAAAGCATATGCACAGGACTCATCAGTCTGTCACTTGACCAAGAACTTGAGACATCTGCACACTGAGACCATTCAACAAATAATAATGAACCAGCTCAAAATGCTGCAGCTGTGACATTATTCCTGGTCTATCAATTTAACCATCACAACCTTCCAACTCTCTAACCACCATCACTGTCAGTTTAATTCAGTCCCACAAAATTTCCCTGAATGCCTCTTATGCGTCAAGCTTTGTGCTTAGCAATAAGACACTGATCCAGCTATGAGTGAGTTTACAGTCAAGCAGGAGTCAGACAGTTAAACCATCACTTACAGGACAAATGTGACAGGTGCCAGAATAGTTTTTCCCTTGTGATGAGTTCGGTGAGGCCAAAGATTGGACAGTGGGAACCCAGAGGAGAAATGTTCAAAACTAGAAGGCAGGGAAGATTTCCTTGAGGAGGAGACCCTCAAACTGAATTGTAAAGGATGAAAAATTATCTGGGTTAAAAAAGGAAAACTACTCCTCAGTAGAAATAAAGAACCTCTGAGGGAATGAGAACAGGGACTGACTGGGAGGAAACATGAGAAAACTTTCCGAGGTGCTGGTAATTACTGTTCTCTATCTTGACAGGTGTTTGGGTTACACAGCTGTACGTGTTAGTCAAAACTCAGCAAATGTACACTAAGATTTGTATACTTCATTCTACGTAAATTTTTACGTAAAAAGAAGAAAACTGTAAAAAAAAAAAAAAAAAAACCCCCCAACTCTAGTTAATGACTATATGCTGGAGTATTCAGAGGAAAGTATATAGATCTCTACAATTTACTCTGAAATGTACCAAAATAAGATGGATCAATGGATAAATAAGCAGATAGATAGACATGTGATACACCAAGTATAGTAACATAGTAGAAGAATACAGGTGGTTGCGTACACAGATACTCACTGTAAAATTCTTTCAATTTTGCTGTGTTTGAAAATTTTAATAATAAATGTTGGGGGGAAAATGTTATCTATATCAAGAAGCAGTAAAAGGATTACCCAGACAGACACAGGAACAGTGTGTAAAGGCACAGTGGCATAAAAATAGCTGTTCTGAAACCCACAAAATAATCCCATGATAGTAACAAAAGGCACAAGTGGGAAAGTGACAGACAAGGAGTAAATTATGAAGGGTTTTTGCATGCTAAGCCAATCTAAGGAGTTCAAACTTCATCCTAAAAGTCCCACAGCAGCAGTAAGGGATTTTAGATAAGAAATGGCGATGGTCGGTTTTGCATCTGGGAAATATTTCTCTGCACTGTGGAACACTAGAGGAAAACAAGGAGTCAGAAGATGTGTCTGGAGAAGCAATAAGGAGCTATATGAAGTCAGTAGAGATAGAAAGGTAGGGACCAAAAAACCCAAAACAAATGTATGGACGTGGTGAGCACCACAATGCAAGAGAATGGAGAATTCTAGAACAACTTCTAGAAGTCTTAAGAGACTGAGTAGAAGTGGTACCACCGATTGACAAGGAATGCAGGGAGGAGAAACAGTTTAGAGAGAAAGAGGAAGTGAGTAATTTTGAACCTACTGAGTTAGAGATTTCTGATTGGAGCCCAGAGGCAGTTGGATATAGGAATCCAAAACTTGGAAATGAGGCCTGGGCTGGAGATCCACCTGTGAGCATGGTGAAGGCAGCCAAAGCCTTGGGCTTATATGACATCACCAAAAGAGATGATCTATAATGAGATGGTGAAGAACTGGTACACATGCCATCACTTGACACACCTGAATTCATAGCCAACCTGCAATCAAGCCCAACATTCTCTTGGTGGATCCAATCAAAGCCTCAGAATCCTTCTACACAGTAACTTGGGCAGCTGCTGCCAAGTGATAAAAGTTAGCACCTACTTGCCATCCTGGTAAAGAGAGAAAAGAGAGTCCTCCTGGAACTTAACATTTAGAAGTTAAGAAAAAGAGAAACCAAGGAGTGACAAAATATTTGTTCTCAAGGCCCCCTAAAGTCCACCTTTGTCTGAATTTCCTTCTCATTCCTCTTAGCTCTAGGGTCTGCTCTAGTTAACAAAACTTTTCTCAACCACCTTCTTGCTCTTCAACCCATATGTCTCTAGAAAACACCATGGAGAAAGCTCGGGCATATTATGGGAAGTGTTTCGATTTGGATGAAGCAGAAGGGATATGAAAGGGAATAAACAGTGAGAGATAAGACAGTGTTATGGAAACACATAGTGGAAGCCAATGGACCAGACACTGGTGAGGCTAGAAAAAACAAATCCAGTAGAAAACAGAAAAAGGAAACCAGTCAACAAGGGATTAGGAAGTGAGTGAAGGACCAAGGACTGATGGCACAGACTAAACCCTAATTTTTCAAGGCTTAAAAATCTTCTAAGTAAGGGGTGCCTGGCTGGCTCAGTCAGTAGAGCATGCAACTCATGATCTTAGGGTTGTGAGTTCAAGCCCTGTGCTGTAGTGCAGAGAGAACTTAAAAAAATTAAACCTTTAAGAAGAGTTTTTTTCTAGGTGAATGTTCTTAACTCATATCCTCTACTAGACTGTAAGCACCTTCACTTGGATCCTTTACATTTCACTCCCTACCACACATATACCAGATGCTCAATAAATATTTGTTAAATAATATCTGAGACAACATCCCCATCAGGCCTTAAAGTCTAACTCAAAGCTAACCTTTCGGAACTGCCTAGTCATACCTAAGTCCAAACAGGACTGAAAATTTTTCCTCCTTTAACTTCTATGATCATGAAAACACAAAGAAGCAGGAGAATTTCAAGGTTTCTTTCTGTCTTCTAAAAAACACAGCAGTTCAATTTCAGCTATGGATGTAGGAATCTACAGAGCACCAAGCTCAGAGAAAAAAATGGGTGATGACAGAATCTACAGAGAGACTGTTAGATATCACCTCAACACTCATGAGACAGTCACAGAGGGAAGCAGAACTCACTAATCTGTGACCACAAACAATGTCCTCAAATGTCAAAGAAAGGCCAAGTGAGACCAATTCAAAAGAATGAAAAAGAGGAAAGGGAAAACAAACTCACAAGGGGACTTTCTCCTCTGTGGTGAGGCTGAATACCACCTTTCCTAGGACCACAGCACCACTGTTCACACCGGGTTGTAGTGCACTCAGGGGCTTGAGCTCCAGGGTCAACTTCTGCCCGGAGGCTGACTGGTAGCGCCCATCACCACAAGGGCCTAGATGGGCCGGGCGCAAGCTTCCCAGCATGCTCTGCAACTTTTTGGTCTTCACCTTTCCCTGCAAAAAAAAAAAAAAAAAAAAAAAAATCGAAAAGAATGAAATCTTGCCATTTGCAACAACATAGATGGAACTAGAGTATATTACGCTAAGCAGAATTAGTCCATCAGAGAAAGACCATATGATTTCACTGATATATGGATTTTAAGAAACAAAACAAATGAACATAGGGGAAGGGAACCAAGAATAAGAAAAACAGAGAGGGAGACAAACCATAAGAGACTCTTAAATACAGAGAACAAACTGAAGGTTGATGGCGGGGAGGTGGGTGATGGGCTAAGTAGTTGATGGGCATCAAGGAGGGCACTTGTTAGGATGAGCACTGGTTGTTATATGTAAGTGATGAAGCACTAAATCCTATTCCTAAAATCATTATTACACTATATGTTAACTAACTTGGGCTTAAATAAAAAAAAAAGGATGGGGCACCTGGGTGGCTCAGTCAGTTAAGCATCCACTTCGGCTCAGGTCAGGATCCCACAGGTTTGTGGGTTCAAGCCCCAAGTCAGCTGCGCTGACAGCTCAAAGCCTGGAACCTGCTTCGGATTCTGTGTCTCCCTCTCTCTCTCCGCCTCTCCCCTGTTCACACTCTGTCTCTGTCTCTCTCCTTCAAAAATAAATACTTAAAAAAATATTTTTTTAGAAACTTAAAAAAAATTTTTTTTAATTTACAAAAAAGGAAAAATAGATAAGAAGCTGGAAGCTAGTCTGCTCTCTTTGCAAACCTATTCCTACTCCCACCTACCCACTTCTACAGGTAGGGTCACCACTACTGAAGCCTAGTCTTTTCTTATTTTATTTGATCCACAGGGTCAGGAGGATAAAAGTACGATTTGGCCTTCTGACAACTTTACCTTGCTCTCAAGGAGACTGGTTAATCTATTCAGGAATTCCAGAAGTTGTTGCTCTCGTTGCCGGGGCTCTGGCCATGCAGGGTCCAGTGCTGCAGCCCGAGAGAAGCCCTCCAGGGCCTCCCCATAATTCTCTTCGTATTTATGTAACTGCACAAGAAGTAACCAAAAACCTCCCAATTATATGTATATTTAACACAAACTACACCGAGGGGAGTAATGGCACAATGCACTAGCAATCTACAGAAATAAACTGTTTCCGGGGCGCCTGGGTGGCTCAGTTGATTAAGCATCCAAATTTGGCTCAGGTCATGATCTCACAGTTCATGGGTTTGAGCCCCACATCGGGCTCTCTGCTGTCAGTGCAAAGCCTGCTTTGGATCCTCTGTCTCCCTCTCTCACTCTCTGCCCCTCCCTGGCTCTCACTCTCTCAAAAATAAATCAGAAAGAAAGAAAAGAAAGAAAAGAAAGAAAAGGAAGGAAGGAAGGAAGGAAGGAAGGAAGGAAGGAAGGAAGGAAG